AGGTAGCCTATTCTTTACCCAGACTGCACCCCACACAGGGTGTTCGTGAACAAATGTCTGTGGAACTATTATCTAAGTGACAGATCGATATGTAGACTGTACCTATATATGTAACATTCTAGGCGCAAGTCTTTCTAGGTGGCGAGTGAGAGAGGGTGTCTGTGACGTCACACAGTACCGCAGTCTGCTGTGAAGCGCCGAATTATGCAGAAGTGAGGGTTGTTTGCGGTGGCTACCACACATATCGGTTCTGTCATTGCGTGAGTTATTTTACTGGATGGGACGCGCTGTCTTTCATGTTTCTTGTCTGGTCTGTCTGCTGCTGTGCAAAATGTCGGAAGGAGTTGTCACCTGCTCAGTGTGTGTTTGAGCAGTCGCAGTTGTAGCATGTTCACAGAACCCAAGTAACTTGATAAGACAACACAAGGCTTGACTGGGACACGCCGGGAAGCAAGTAGGTAAGGAAATTTTGATAATGACAAGTGTTAGATAGCATTTCGCAGATATTAAAGGAAATATTGGGAATTTTTATAAGAAGTACGAAACAAAAGGAAATGAAATCTGGGAATACGTGAAGCGATGAAAGAATTCTGTTTCGTAATAACCGTATCAGCCGGTCACGGTAGCCGAGCGGTCTAAGGCATGTACTGTCTTCGCTCGCTTGGAAACCGGGATCGTGGGTTCGAATCCCACGGAGGGCATGGATGTTTAGTTTGTGTGTGTGCGTTTTTCTGTGTTTGTGTACAGGTAGAGGCCTTGCGACGAGCTGATCACCCGCCAAAGAATTCCTAGCGAATGTGTAAGATCTAGAATACCCGAAGTGAAGGAGTTCATGAAGGTAGGCCCAGGCCCACTGGGGCTGTAGTGCCAAGAAAAGAATAACCGTATCAGGACTCAGTAGACCTAATACTAGGAAAAAGGCGATTAAGAACATTCGTATGTTTATTACCTTACAAAGGCCCAGTATATGGTATTGTGGCTTATGATGCTGCATGATATGGTTAAGTTGTTGGTTTTACCCTGAAGATGGAAGTGGTACGTTCCTCAGAGACTTTGGCATACATCAAGAAGATTACCTTATGATATCGTAGTCCAGAAAGGGCAAGCATAAAGCTCCATGTCGTGAAATTCGTAAGTAAGAAAGTCCATGATGAAAAGTCGTCCGTCTAATGCTGAAAGTTGCTCAACGGGCAGGAAATTTCCTGCTTGAGGAACATGAAGATCATCTGCGGGCTCTCTAATCCTTGCATCCAATAAGTATCAGGGTTAAAGCGATCGCAGCTTTAAGCTGCCCTCTTACATGAATCTGTTTGCTAGGATAAGATTGCTTGGAGCTTTGCCTTCATTGCGACATACGTCTTCATGGTGGTGCTCAAGTACACAGAGATCTAAGTTCATTGCCGTTTTCGTTCGGCGACTGATCCCGTCGCTACACCTTGCAGAAGATTCTCTCATTTCCCCCCCCCCCCACGTCATTCTCTTGCCGAACTTCGCAGTTCAACAGATACCATTTGCGGTTTCGAACTTCGGCCCGGAGACTGGTTATTATGACACGGGTGTCCTTAGTCTCTCGAAAGAGATGGTCGCGCAGCACCTGCAGACATCAGGACAGCCTCATTCCACATACCTTCCAGTTCCTCACTCAAACTACCTTGTCATTCCTCCTCACATAACGAGTTCAATTGAATCCAACGGTCGATCAAGAGGCCTGCAGGTGCGACCCAGTCTGGTCCATTTGTACGTACATCCAGCATTTGGAAGGTGTACGGACGTGGCATGTGTTGCAGTCAACCACAGCGCAGTACCGAAACGTCCAGTTAGTGGACATGAAGAACCCTTAGTGTATATTTCGAGAAGTCAGATTTCGAATTCCACAACATTTAACTCTTTATGTATTAGCAGGCGACCCGGAAAATCGAGTCGTGAACTCCCAGCTCGGACACACAGTGGGCCTAGGAACTCCTTACGAAAACGACCATAAAAGGTAAAAAAGGTAAAGTTGCACCTGTGCTTAACCAGTTAAGCACTACGCCATGAAGCGTGTGGGGGAGTGGCTGTATAGATCCACATTTTCTTGACCTCGGAACTAGTTGGAGTTGAGTGGTCAGCTTCACGCCCTGGCCGCTTTACCCCCAGGGAAAGGAACCCCATACCCTTTGGATAGGAAGTTGGGTGGCCCCAGAGCCGGTCTGGACGACTTGTAGACGAGAGAATTGCAAAACGACTAGTATGTTACTAAATGTTACATCGTTCCTCGGCAATATAGCGCTTTTGTGAACCTGGCAACGAACCTTAGAATTACTTTAAGACGGAATTTCTTGACTAGTTAAGCGACTATGAGTTCCATGCAAGAAATGCATAACGACTCTCCTTTCGCGTGCTTATTTACTCTGAGTTCCATCTAGAATACACCGTTTCAATAGGTAGTTTTGCAGGTACACTACACCTACAGTCAGTGTGTGAGCTCCATCTAGAGTACACTGTTTCAGTAGATAGTCTTGCAGGGACACTACAGCTACAGTCAGTGTATGAGCTCAATCTAGAGTACACTGTTTCAGTAGATAGTCTTGCAGGGACACTACAGCTACAGTCAGTGTGTGAGCTCAATCTAGAGTACACTGTTTCAGTAGGTAGTCCTTCAGGGACACTACAGCTACAGTCAGTGTGTGAGCTCCATCAAGAGTACACTGTCTCAGTAGGTAGTCTTGCACGTTTACTGCCCTCTGTGTGCTGGCCAAAGGGTTCGCGCTGCAGGATGGACGTAGCGTAAGTCGCATTCAGGGGTTGCTTAACTTGCACACAACAGCACNGTCAGTGTGTGAGCTCAATCTAGAGTACACTGTTTCAGTAGGTAGTCCTTCAGGGACACTACAGCTACAGTCAGTGTGTGAGCTCCATCAAGAGTACACTGTCTCAGTAGGTAGTCTTGCACGTTTACTGCCCTCTGTGTGCTGGCCAAAGGGTTCGCGCTGCAGGATGGACGTAGCGTAAGTCGCATTCAGGGGTTGCTTAACTTGCACACAACAGCACGTGGGTTATTAGTGTGTTGAAATAGACGGGTGTGATTGGCGGGCTGTGAGAAATGTGGGCAATATTTTAATTTGGAAATCCTCGAAAGGAGAGAACACTTTAAAATCTTGTCTTAGATGGGAGGGTGACAGAAATATAATATCTGGGTCTTCAGTTAGGTGACGGTATTATCGCTGTTTACGGCTTTGGATTTCTTCGGTGGGGGAGAATTCACGTGTTTCCACTGTTGACTCTGCCATTTGCTTTTGGATTCAAAATGGTGGCACCATGTTTCGTCCCCAGTGGCAGTACGGGACAGGAAAGCATACTCTTCCTCATGATATGGTTGCAAGTGACCCAGTGATGCAGCCATTCTCTGAGTCTTCTGTTCCTCCGTGAGTTGATGTGGAACCCACTGCGCGCAGATTTTGCGGCACATCAGGTGTTTTGTCACAATGGCGTGTATGGAACCGTGACTTATTCCGATCAAAAGACTAATTTCTTCCACAGTGATCCGTCGGTTTGCCTGGATATGACCATCCAACGCAGCAATAACATCAGGAGCAATGACACGATGAGCCTGTCCAGGGCGAGCATCATTCCCTCTCGGAATCTGTTATGCCACGCCAGCACAAGCGAACGTGTCATGCTGTGTTCGCCGTAAACAACAGACATGCGACGATGTATTTCCCGTCCTCCTACTCCAGCAGTCAAAAAGCGCACTACACTTCTCCGTTCTTCTTTACCCGCCTCCATTACTGATGTTGGACGACCACACGTAACGCTAACCTTACTTCCAGCACAATAAGCAAACGAATAGTGTGCGAGGGCACGTTGCCACTGTGCTTTCCCGAGTCCCCACCAGATGTTCGTACTGTAAGCAAATTCCAGTGTTACCAACTTGCGCCCCGTGTGAGTTATGTGTGGTGACCCGTTTTCACTTGACTGCCCCTTATAAGTACTGTTGTGAACCCCAAGTTTTAAAGGTAACCAGTTAAGCTAATTTAAAGGAGACGACATCGCTCGAAATCGACGGCCCTCAGAAGTTGGTGACTTCAAGCAGAGACCGTCCAGAAAGAGTCTTCATCTAATTCTAGTGCAGTAGAGACGGAAAACCGCATCGCTCTGTGGTACGCAACTATATAATGTAACGTTAAGACCCAGCTTTTCAGGTCAGCCTCTAAGGACTGACAGTGTCAGAAAGTAGCAACCAGTGCAGTCGTTGTTGGAATATAATATTAAAGTGAAACTCATGCCGCGGTGAAAAAAGCATCTGTAATGCAATCAGTGCTTATATGAAAAGTAAATTTTTTTTTGTAAGTAATCGAAGTGATCCTGTCCCACCGACTTGCCTAAGCAAGACTCGCGAAGATCCGAAAAGGAATCCCATCTCTATCCCACTGACTACTACTGACCTTCACCGTTTACTCCAGACAGCGTAAATTTTGTAAGCATATCTTGTTTACTGGTGTGACGGGCTGATCCCCTGTCCAAAGAGTCCTGCCGACTGTGTATAGGATCAAGGAACTGAAAAAGCAGCCAAAGCCCAACAAAGGACTCTAGAGCCATACTACTACTACTACTACTACTACTACTACTACTACTACTAATAATAATAATAATAATCTTATTTACTTGCTCCCATAAAATAAATCCTGTTCCCTAGACTTAACATCTATTGCTGTAGAATCTATGTAGAGAGGAAGTGATCAACCCTCAACAGTGTTAATGAACTGTGAATGTAGTTAAGTTATAAAGTGCCTCTCATTGCGTGGCTACAACCGCTACAACCACTGCAAGCATGTCATTGAAGGAGATTGTCTGTTGTCTTGCGAAGGAGTATGCGCCATTGAGCTAGTTACTTCGTTTGCTTGTGACGAAGGGATCCTAGACTCTCGAAGAGGAACTGGAGAGACTATGGCACGTAGAACGTTCAGGAATAGGCGATGACGTTGATCTATTGTTTCGATGCAAAATGGCTGATTTTCCAGGCAGTGATGTGGAGGACAAGCGTTCTGGCTGCCGCCCGGATCGTCGGCGCGGGCCTTGCTGGCTCATGGGCCATTGGACTCCTGGTCCTGGTGGGGCAGGTCGCCGGCGAAGTGAGTGGCCCGTCCACCATCTTAGCACTCCTCATCGCAGCCATAAATGCCGTTCTCACAGGTGATTAAGCTTTTTTACGCTTGTTTCCATCGTAGCGCACGGTATCAGCTGTTGAGGAATCACACTCCGGACCCTATATATTTTAGTTTACTAGGAGCTAATGTCTTCCATTGGAGACCTGTCTGAAGGCTTCCAGAGCCGTCAGACAGTAAAAATGTGAGCATGAATCCCGTTGGACTCGGAATCAAGAATCGCTGTGCTGGCGAGGACCAGCGCCAATTTCCTTGACAGGACTAATGTACTTTATTACAGTAGGCTGGGAAGCTAAATGTATGCAAATTGTGTAATTATGCTTCGAAGACGTTAAAATGGTTTTGAAGCATATATTAAACAAGTTACAGAGTATGTGATAACAGTGAAGCCTAAATACTGGCTGTGTGTTCATTCAGTGTACAGTTCTGACTTCTCACTAATTTGGACATTATTACCTGACGGTGAACAGCTGAATGCGAATTTAATATTATTTATTGTATGCTGGAGTTCTTCTTAATCTGAATTATTGCCTTTGTAATCCTTTCTGCCCAAAGCGCATAATCAGTGTACACTTATGAAGCTGCTTTAGGGCCGCGCCATAGCTCAAGCGGTTAGTCGCTGGCTTCCCACCACGGCGGCCCGGGTTCGAACCCGGGTCTGGTCAAGTGAGATTTGTGGCGGACAAAGTGGCGCTGGGGCAGGTTTTCAACTGTGCTCCTTTGCGACATGTCGCAGACATCGTGTCTTGACTGTTGCATGTCTTGACGCATGCCGGTGTGCGGCCTACCTTACATGGAGATTGCACATAGAAATGATCGAAGCCGAGGCCTTCAAAACTTTCATTACATTGTATTCCTTATTCAAAAGTGAGCGATTGAGCGCTAACAAAGCTCTCATTAGATCTGTAATGACTTATGCTAGTCCAGAATGGGAATTTGAGGCAGACACCCATCTAGTGAAATTGCAGCGCCTGCAAAACAAGGTTCTCCGCACCATTGGCAATTTTCCAAGGCGCACACCGGTCCGCGATTTGCACATGGCGTTCAAAATCCCGTACGTATATGACTGTATAACAAAATTATGCAGGCAACAAGAAGGCAGAAGTAATACAAAATCATGAAAATTAGAATGTTTGCAACATCGGACAAGGCGAAGCCCGACACAGAAAGTGTAAGAGGCTTAAACGTGGCGGCGGTCAGGCATACTACCGTTCAAGTGACTAGACTTCCGTGGTAGCAAATATTACTAGAAATAGGGCATAGTCTGCTGTACTGAGCCTGGACTGACAGAGGCCATGAATATATATTATATAACTGGTTCGCGATTTACACATAATTACTTACTTATGGAGCTGAGCCCTTCTTGAGGAGAAGCCAAATCTGCACCTACTAAAGAATTTTTCAGCATTTTATGGAACCCTAACGTTCATTTCCATATTCACAAGAGCCATCCACTGGACCCTATCCTGAGCCAGATCAATCTAATCCATCCCACCCTATCTCTCTAAGATCCATTTTAATGTTGTCCGCCCACCTACGTCCTATTTCTATTTTTTTTTAATTCGCTTAGAGAGGGGTGGAGTCCAACTGGGTCCACTCGGCACGGTGGCCACTGATTGGCCTATTGTAGCCTGCCCCGGGTGATTATGATGATGGAGAATTTGTCGGAATGAAGATTGTCAAGGGAAACCGAAGTACTCTGAGAAAACCCGCCCCAGCGCCACTTTGTCCACCACAAATCCCATTTGACCAGACCCCAGGATCGAACCCGGGCCGCCGCGGTGGGAAGCCAGCGACTAACCGCCTGAGCTATGGCGCGGCCTACATCTTGGTCTTTCCAGTTGCCTCTTTCCTTCTGGCTTTCCCACCAATATCCTATATGCATTCCTCGTCTTCCCAATTCGTGCTACATGCCCTGCCCATCTCATCCTCCTTGACTTGATCATTCTAATTATACTCGTACTTAGAGAAGAGCACAAGTTATGAAGCTCCTCATTATGCAGTTTTCTCCAACCTCCTGTCACTTCATCTGTCTTCGGTCCAAATATTCTCAACACCCTGTTCTCAAACATCCTCAGTCTGTGTTCCTCCCTTAATGTCAGAGACCTAGTTTCACACCCATACAGAACCACAGGCAAAATTATAATTTTGTATATTCTAATTTTTATGTTTTTGGACAGCAGACAAGAAGACAAAAGGTTCTGGAGTGAATGGTAGCAAGCATTACCCGAGTTCAATCTCCTCTTAATTTCTCCTCAATCAGGTTTTGATTTGTTATCGTGGTTCCCAAATATCTGAACTGTGCCTTATTTTCAAAACATCTGTTTTCTATTGTCATGTCATAATTTTTTCCCTGCATTTTGGTGACGAGACAGTAACATGTACTTAGTTTTCTCTGTGTTTACTTCTAGACCAACCTCTTTACTTGCATCGATTAAAGTTTGTGTGTTTTTCTTTATGATATCTATATTATCACTCAGTAGAGTCACATCATCGGCATAGACGATTTACACATGACTTTCAAAATTCCGTACGTATATGAATACATAAGAAAATTATGCAGGCAACAAGCAGAAGTCATACAAAATCATGATAACGTAACATCGGACAAGGCGAAGCTCAACGTACAAAGTATAAGATGATTAAACTTGGCGGCGGTCAAGCATACGTCCGCTCAAGTGACTAGACTGCCGTTGTAGCGGAAGCTACCAGAAATAGGGTATAATCTGCTGTACTGAGCCCGGAAGGACAGAGGCCCTGTATATATTTTATGTACAGTTATTAACATGTTTAACATGTAAAATGTAAATATCCTTTACATTATGACAACTTACTACTGCAGATAATGACTCTGACAAAAGACAGACCCGTCCTCTCGTCAGAGAGGGCGCCCCACAATAACAAGGCCGTAACTGTCAAACAGTAATAAATATCTGGTCATGAGTCCCAGATGGAGCTCGTAACCATGGCCGACTGACTGACCATCAGTCGCAATGTGACTTTGACTTTGACAAGAATAGTTAAGTTGGAAGGGATCCGCCATTCAGAGAGGACTAGAGCCCGGAAGCAGAGGACTAGCCATTGTTAGAAACCGTTACCAGGCAACTACTAATACTGAGACCGCAGGCTGGAAAAACTTAACGTGATTTTGTAAAGTGTTGGAAAAAAGCGATAGTGTTATATATGTAGTTACGACTTGTAAGTGGCCAATAAATCCAATTATCCAAAATTCCGTCCATAGTCGCTCATACTACGTGAGAGTATTGTTTGTGTCACGAGTATGTGGGCAGTAGCGGCTTCTTTCATTTCCACTCGGCTTTCTCTGGCGTATATCTCAGCAGATTTATCCGTCTCGGGCTATACCTACTTCTGTCTCGAAGTTCATAGATCCCGCGTCCAGGGCCCAACTTTCTTGGTCTCCTTCCACATCCTCCCACTCGACTCTGTATAACCCATGAAGTTTAAAGGTGTCGTTAAATAAATATGATAAACTATGGAAAAATAAAGCTTACTCTTGGTTTGCTGGAATTAGAGCGTCAGTTATTGCAAGGACTCCCTGGTTAGCGTAGTTCCTGTTCTTCCCCACTTGGACGTTTTTTTCGAAGCAGAGATGTGTCTCGTACACAGATACGGGGGAAGAATTCAAGGACAGGCAGCGCATGAAATATTGTATAACTTCGCATCTGGACGGACGCAAGAGCGAAATGTGCGTACGTGTCTGTCGATGTGAAACATCTTGTTTTTGTTAATTGGATTCATTAGCGGACTTTCCCATGTACTCTGCATGTTCTGCCCATCCAACACTTGGTTGCCTTGTAAATTTGCTGAAAATACGGGTTGTGAAGCTCCTCACAATGCAGTTCCCTTCAGATCTGTTTCATCCGAATTAGCAACCAAATAATTTCCGCAATAGTTTGTTCTTCAGAAATCTCAGAGTTTCTTCTAGAGAGCGAAAGACAAAATTTTACGTCTTTACAACAGAAGGAAATTCAGATTGCACAACTCATGAAGCCTTTAATATGAATTAGAGTTTTAGGCCTACAGATGTGTTGTTGTGAGGAGCTTATCACATAAATATTGATTCTATGTACTTTAAATTTGTCGGGTATGAAGTTAACTGTTCACATGTCCATGTTAGAAACTTGTTTCCTGAGAGACAGTATTTCATACACCATATGCAGACATCCAACCTGTCAATCTGCGCACCAAATTTCACATGTTTAGTTCCAATTGTTCATTAATTACTGCAATCAGAAGGAAAGTTCGTAATATTTTCGCTTTATTCTGCATTCTACAAACAAATTGCATTAACAAAAGTTGCATATTTTCAGAAGATTTGTTTACGTATTGTTGCCGCTCGCCGACTTACAGTTGCCACGACTGTCGCTCGGCTTGGTTCTTTATCTCAGGGATAGGGGTGCTTCGGACATGGGAGTGGAACACACTTCGGGGTTAATGAATCACTGAGTCTCCGTAACACACCTTGTACTATTGTCTACATTAACATTGCTTACAGCGATAGTACATCTTACATTAGTCCTCCAAGCTAGCCTCTCCGTCTCTCCTAACTTTTTTGCACTGGCCACACCAATTCGCTCCCAGCTTACCAACCGTACACACTCGCTAACCCCGACTGACTTCTCATTCTCTCTCCAGCGTCTTCTTGCAACTACAGTCTACCTGTCCCAGACTGTAAACCAATTCTCTGTTCAGCGGCTTCTTTCATGTACTCTACACCTTTGCTCCCGATCACCGACGGTAATACCATTATTTCTTCTGCGACTGTTTTGAGCTACTGTACACCACAGTTCCCTTTCACTCACTGACTTGTCTCTTTCTTACAAGCCCCACAGTGGCAATAAAATGAAACAAAAATAATGAGAGATGTGGAGCCTCGCTTAACGAGCACATCTCATAACGAGTAATTCGCATAACGAGCAAAACAAATTGTAAAAGAGTGACTCGCTTAACGAGCGACGTTTCGCATAACGAGTGACGAGAGGGGAAGTCCCGGATTGTGCGCTTGCT